AGTACCTTCAGGAAGTACAGGACCTTCAGCACCACCTTCAGGACAAGTAATCTTTGTCTCACTCTCCGTATCAGGGACTTGGTCGGAAAGATCGGCGGCAGGCACTTCTTCAGCGAGGACGTGCACACACGCACATGAGAGCAGGAGAGCGAGGATACACAGCACGTAGCGCATCATTACCATTACAATACTTCTTGTAGTAGTCTTACTTCAATCGCTTACAGACAAGAAAAAAAAACAGATAGAAAAACCAGAAACAAAGTAAATCAATGGAAACAAGAAAATAAGAACATACTACCAAATCAAACAACACTCAACAATTACAGCAGAGGCACACACATTGCAGAAAACTACAACCATAACTCATAGAATACCCATATAAAGGGAACAACAAACAAAGTACCCAATAACAAACAGATAACCCCAATAAACCCCTCAAAAGAAAAAAAAGAAATTAAAGAGAACAACCATCAAAAGTAGACAGCACAGAAATACATCAAAATGTTTCTTCTGGTCGAACCAAGCACAATTACAAATATATTTGTGTATTCTTTATTATTTTTCTCCACTCAAAACACTCCACCACACAACAATGCAGGAAAAAGCACACAGTGCCCAAGCAAAGAAAACGAAAAAACACAAATTAAGAGCACAATCTGCACAAAAATAACTCACAGACCACTGAGTATGCTGGTGTGTTCAAGTAATTACGAATACAAATTGTATTAACTACTATTTTTTTATTTGCTCTGCATAAAACAGAATACAAAAATCCTGCATGGCAAAAGCACACAATGACCCACGCACACTAAAGCAAAGAAAAAATATTATTAATTAGCCCAATTTACCCAGTAAACACAGAAATATACACCAACTATGGATGTAAATCTATATGTGTACATACGCAATTATAAATATAAATTCATCTGTTATTATTTTTTCATTTTTCCCTCTCATAGCGAAACGCAGTTCATCAATCATCATCACAGTGCAAGCCCAGGCACACACAGAGAGAGTCTCCAAGAACACACACAATATCCCATGGCTCTAGTTTATGTATATTAAATTACTCCACACACACACACACACACATCTGTGTGTACTAGCAAGAGATGTATACCGTCAGTGAGCAGAACAGCCCAGTTTTCTGCACACACACACAACGGGAAAAGCAAGTAATGGAATTATTAGAAAACAAAAAAACACACACAAAAGTAAAAGAAAAGAAACTCCAATTAAAAGAGAAAGCTGATAAACAGATTATTAGTTTTTTCACCCATGGGGGATATAAG